GCAAGCTCAAGTTTATCTTCAATATGTTAACACCCCTCAGCACACACTAGCGTTCATGCTGCATGCCAGTGAAAATCACCTCTTATTTAATTTGGGAAATACACTTAGCCTATTTGCTTTTGTATACACAGTGACACAAGAAGATTGCTACCACTATCAAATCTGTAGGGCTGAGTGTGAAACTGCAGCCAGCAGACGCTTAACTTAGCCTAGTGTAAAGATTGGAAACGGGGACTCAGCTAGCCCAAAGGATAAAAAAAGAAATTGAACTACCAGCATGTCTAAAACAAACTGACTTATTATATCTAATTTCTGTAACCCATAAATCAAGCTGTTTTGCTGTTGGTAGACTTTATGCTAAACTAAGCTAAACTACGCTAAGCTAATCTAAGATAAGATAGGCTAGGCTAAGCTAAGCTAAGCTAAACTAAGCTAAGCTGTGAGTTGGCAATGCTAATTATCATTACTATTGTTATTTTTACCAATTATCCAGTAAAAGATTAAATCCTCCAAGATATTTCTGTGATCTCACAAATAAATACTCTATGCCAAAAATGATAACATATCAGTTTGTTGCAAAACCAAGATTTGAATCCAACATTTTCCCCAAAATGCACCTTGTTGCTCCACTCTTACTCTTTGCTGGCTAAATCTGCTGCTCAGGCCAGGCGGTCTGTGGAAATATTGGCTTTAAAGGTCCCATACTGTAACACTTATAGTTATATCTGCGCAGTTTATATGGGTCTGTTAAACACTTCTGTAGCTAATGGTGCTCACAAAAAAAACATAGATTTCATTTTCCCCTGCTTTTCTGAGTCTCTTTTTGCCCCTCTCACAAATGGTCAGATTTTGCTGATAGGTAGTAACAATCCACTAATAATTAATTGCCATGAGCAAAATGTCCTGATTGGCTAAGAACAGATCAATGAAAAAGGCCGTCTGGGATCAGGAGGCTATGGTAAACATGGCTACAGTACCTGTAGGACCTTACCAGTTTGAGCCTGAAGATTCAGGCTTGGATAATTCAGATGAAGAGGATCAGGAGCAACATTTTAAAAGAGGGCAGCAGGATGTTGCAGAGTGTGTTGAGTGTGTTTTTGTTTTAGTACAACATAAGTTTGTTAGTTAAGACAGGGATAGCTAACGTTAGCATAGCGAGGTTGAAGCTTGGTTGCTGTAGATACACGTCTTGTGGTCTAACGCTGGTGGTTAACACAGCTTTCCTCTTAACAGTTGACCGTGGGGCTCGATTCTGGGCTAACTCATCTGTGTTTAGGACGAGAAACAGGATTTAAAACAATGTTTTAATGGTTTGTTATGTAGGTGCACACAATGAAGTCGCTAAATATTTGAAAGCTCGTGGATCAAGTGAAGTGTTTCCAAACAGATTACATTCATTTTCACAGAGAATTAAACCCACTTGCACTTTGAAAAGGATGATACTTTTCCCTTTTCATGCTTTGCTTGTGTCGATGTTTACCTTGTTGGCCTTGCACTGGGCAAACTTTTTATCTCTTTGGGCAGAGAGAAAGCATCTGCGGTATCACAAAAACACCTTTGAAAGTGAATAAAAGCATTTTGACTTTGCTTCTAAGGTCTGCAAAGAGAATACCGTGTGACCGAATGTACAGAGTAGCATACGGTCAAAAATGGAGCTATTCAGTTTCCTTCCCTAAACTAGACTAATCCTGATTGATTTGATTTCTACTCTGATATCTCCATTGTAGCAAACAGAGGACGTTTGGCCCTCCAGTAGCTTCGGTGATTCCCCCGGGGACCCCAGTCTGTGGCACTGGTCTTTGCTCAGGGTGCTGACACACTTGTGCCCTTCCAGATGTAATGCAGCCAGTGAGCAATTGAGCAAATAACAAATGAAAGCAAAGAGCCTGCAGTCTGCGTGTCTGACGGGGGCTCGGAGGGGGTGTCGAGGGTCAGCTGCTTTCTCAGAGCGATCTTTTTCAACTAGGCGTCCAAAGTCAACATTCCAACTAACCTACAGCCATCAGAATGCAGACTGAATGAAAGCGAGAGGAAATGGAGGGAGATGGAGGGAAAGTGACAAAAAGAGTATCGTGGAGTTTTTTTTTTCTTCCTGAAAAGCTAATGTTTCACAGGTTTGGCTTTCCCAGCTTTGGAAGCCCACATGCCTACAGTTATTCATCTGGGTAGACATCATCCATTACCTCTAATTAACCAGATGATGGTCTGGTGAGCAGAAAATGAAGGAGGCGATTAATCACTCACGGCACCTCCAGGCCTACTGCTCAACCTAAAAAAGGGGGAAGTGAACGAAAAGTGCTCTTGGGTCTTTTTGTGTGTCTCCTTCTCATGCCCAGAAACAGTGCATGTCCAAACTATTCTGGTCCATGAGCAGGAGAACATAGAGACTCCTCTGAGGATTTTATTGGCAATATCTATGCATCTGACGGAGCTCATAAAGAAAGCATACGTTTATAATCAAACTGTACGCAGCTGATCCGTGACAGAGGTATGGTGAATGATAGCTGTGCAGGCTTCTATATGCCATCTTTTTATTAGATGGAGGGAATTTACTGCCTCTTTTGAGGTGTAGTTTGTGTCATGCGTCTTCTGTGGGTGAGTTACTGGTGGTTTGGGCGATGACGTAATTGTGGAAAGGTCCTGGGTGCAGTCAAACTTGTAATTCAGTGAGGAATTTTTCATCTGGTCAAGGTTGGCCGGGTCTGTCTTTATAAATAAAGATGTTAGTCTTCAAAAGAGGAAAAACAGAGGAAGAGGAAAGGAGAGACACGAAAGCCCTTTACTAACCCACTTACATACTCAACACTGCTGGAGAACCATGATATTAATTTCTAATCCCCATAACATGGTCACAGGTCAGATTTCTGTACTGTTTACAGTATGAGGTTCTACAAATAAGAACACGCTGATGCTGAGCATGAAATAATTGAAGTCTTGATCCAGGAAAATATTATCCTGACCATAGGAATCCAGAATTTGTCTTCCAGACGGTGTTTTTGGGGGCTGTTCAAGTAGTGGCGAACTCAAGCTGTCTGAGTGGCAGGGGTGAAAAAACATAAAAAGGGCACCCGATGCATATGGTGGGGCAGCAGCAGGCGCAAAGGTTTTTAGCGTGCAAGGCAGCCTATATGGTACTGCATCATGTTTTCTCCATTTTAAGGCCATTCTAAAGGACACTATCACATTTTCTCCGGTGGGGAGGGCACCATAAAGGGCACTTTATCATGTTTTCTTCACTGGAAGGGCACCCTAAAGCATATGTCATCGCATTTTCTCCACTGGAAGGGCACCCAAAAGGGCACTTGTATCTTGTTTTCTCCCCTGGAAGGACACACCAACAGTCACGTTATCATGTTTTCTTCCATTGAAGGTCACCCTAAAGCATACTATATTACATTATCTCCACTGGAAGGGCACCCTAAAGGGCACTTCATCACATTTTCTCCACTGGAAGGGCACCATAAAGAGTACTTTATCATGTTTTCTCCACTAGAGGGCACACTAATGCTCATTTTATCATGTTTTCTCCACTAGAGGGCACACTAATGCTCATTTTATTATGTTTTCTCCACTGGAAGGGCACCCTAAAAGGCACTTAATCACATTTTCTCCTTTGGTCTAGCATCTTGAAGGGCACTTCATCATGTTTTCTCCACTGAAAGGGCACACTAATAGTAAATTTATCACTTCTTTTTTTTTTTACTTGAAGGACACCCTAACAGGCATTTTATAACAATTTCTTCACTGGGAGGGTACCCTAAAGGACACTTCATAAGGTTTTCTACACTGGAAGGTCACCCTAGCGAGTATCATGTTTTCTCCTCTGGAGGGCATACTTCCTCTCACTTTAGCATGTTTTCCTCACTGAAAGAGCACCCTACAGAGCCTTTTATCACTTTTTCTTTACTGAAGAGGCAACTTGAAGGGCACTTTATCATGTTTTCTCCACTGGAAGGGAACCCTAAAGGGCACTTTATTGTGCTTTATCGACCATACAGGCCTCCAAAAGGGCAGTTTTGCTGTTTTTTCTTCAAATATAGAGGCACCAAGGGGGGTGGTCGCCACTGCCATATGCAATACAGTCATTTTCAATTACCGTTTTTTTTATTTATCCAAATTAAACTATGACCATGACTATGTATACACAAGTTTGGCACAGCAAGCATTCATAGTTTTTAATAAATGATATTATTCCCAGCAGGAAGGCAACCTCCCAGCAAGTGCAGCCACAGCACACCACTGCTGTGCTCTGAAAGTCAGCTTCTGCTATCATCAGCTGTGCTTGAAGTGGGAGTCTGGGCTGTTTCAGTGGTACGGACTCGCCCCATGTGTGCTTTATTACCTCATCTTCAGTGGTGATTTATGGCTCTCACACAGGCCACTCTTCTGAGCTGTTTATATCTGCCGAAGATAAAAGAAAATCATGGCTTTATTACCCAGACAGAGTGGGTCTGTTTACACAGCAGACGGGGCTCATTGGAGAGCTGCAACGGGCCTGCATCGCACATATCTGATGTGCTTTTTCAGAGGCAATAAACTGTGCCATGTGTGCAAAGCATCACTGGACGAGACTGTTATGTGGTAAATACAAAATGGTAGCTGTTGAAACACACATTCCATCATTATCTACTCCTAATGTTGACAAGGAGACATTTTATCCTCGTGACTCACATCCTGGAAAAAAAAACAACCGGCTTTCGTTGGATCATTATTAAAATGTTTCTGTCTGAATCAGACTGTTTTGTGCCTTCTCAGTCAGTCATTTCTAAAATCAGACTAACTGTTTCAGCTTGTAGGGTAACTCAAGATCATCCTAAAGAATGCATGTCCCTGTATGCTCTTGGAGCTCTCATATATACCACTGCTATCGAAAAACTGTTTGCCTGTAGTGCCATCCTGTGGTCAGAATGAAAACAACACAAAGCGGCAACACCTCATGACAAAAATGTTCACTGCCAAAACTCATGTGAGGCCTCTACAAAGAAAAGGTCAAACATCTGTGACAGTATCACATTATTTTATTAGCCGGTACAGAAGATTAACTGTGTTGTAAGGCTCTGTTTTGCTAACACACTTGAGACCAAAAATGACAGCAGCTTACGATATACACTGGCAGAGCTCAGTGAGTTCTACAAACCAGGAGAATACATTTTTAAATCAGAAAAAAAATGATAGTGTCTCAGTACATTTAAATAATGAACACTTGATGTAAATTTACAGAGTGTCTTATACATCCTCTCCTTAGTGCCAGTGAAGGTTACTGTTTGACTTCAGGTAATGGTAAAGTTATGGGCAGGTATCATCTTTATCCTAAGAGGAACCTTTCTGATAAGATCAGTAACTGTGATGACATTGTCTAACGTGTGCGATATTTACTACAGTTGAAGCATGCGAGTTAATACAATATTACAGTCTGCAGAAAAAGATGTTGATGAGGATACATATGCTAAAAGCGCAGAGGTGTGTGCTGCACAGTTGGGAATTGTTCGGATTGTTCTCTATTATGATTTCTGATTCTGCTCATTTATTCTCTAATATTTCTCTAATCTCTATGTTGTATTAATTTCTGAACATAAACTGCTATTTTTTACATACATTAAAGACCAATATTTCTCAAACAAATCCACAAAACAAAGGAAAATACTGTACGCACCTGAATGACAGATCCATTTTCACATTCCAGCATGTAAGTGGAATTTCTATGCATAACTTTACATTTTTTCATTAGTAATTTTATGTATCTGTAAGGTTCTGTTTCCTATACACCAAAAGTGCTTTTAAATTAAATATGGTATATAGTGTTCATGCTGAGGAGAATGATGATATGGTGAAATACAGTCTATCAGCATGTTTGTGGCAAACAAAGCAAATAAACAAAAGCAGTAAGGTAAATTAAACTTGATTCTCTAATACGTCTGCAGTCAGTCATGGTTTCATGTAGTTTTATAAACTAGGCTATAACGCAGTCGCTGTTTGTTCCACAATGTATCTGATGATGCAACTTAAGCTAAAACTTTGAAACAACTGTACCAAGCAGATCACAAATAATTCTTACATATCAATAAGCAGAATCAGAAATCATATTTAAATTAAAGTTTACAGAGGTTAGTTCAAAGAACCCAACACTAGGTGTGTTTGATAGTAAACCAGGTATTCGTGTTCAGGGAGCCAGTGGGCCCAGCCTCAGCTCTACATGATGCGTGAGCCAAATGGCCTCGGCGGTGGTGTCGGCTCCCTCCTCGCTCTGCCTGACGGGAGCGGCGAGGTTGCGGAAGTCATGTCGGATCTTAAATGAAACGGTGACGTCTGCGTCCTCTTCTTTCTGAGGGATCACTTTGATGAAGAAACCAATCTTGTTGGATTTCCTAAAGGCAACGACACTGTGGAAAGAACAGAGTGATGTGGTTAAGAGTGACCTCACATTATTAAGTCTTTGTACATATGTGTGTGTGTGTGTGTGTGTGTGTCAACTTACTCTGGGTCATCCTGGAAGTCCTGAGGTTCAGCCAGTTCATCATACTCAGCAGCGGCATCCTTTCCTGCCAAGACCAGTTCTTTGCTGGGTACTATAACCTAAAAACAAACAGTTTCAACATTCAGTGACTTTCAGACGATTGTATGCGTTAACCTGTATTTCAAACATCATATAGCTTCTCTTTTTGAAGCACATCAATGACAATTCATGCATTATGGAGAAAATGTCTAAAAAAAAACAACAACCCTTGACTTAAAAATGTGTTTTGCCTGATGTTGCTTCACTTGGAAGTTTGACCTTCACTGTGTAAAGTGATGTATGTGCAGAGTTTGTCACCAGAAGGCTGTTTTAAAATGCATCTGCTGAAGGAGGAAAGTTTTTCCGCGCTCACCTTAAATGTGAGCTTAAGACGTGAATGTACTAGCATAATTTTGTGACACCAATTTAGGGGCCAAGAAAATCCAGTAGTTAAATGTTTCAATTGAACAATTTGCATATTCATAAATTCTGGATTTTTTTCAGTGAGGGAGAAGTAAATGTCATTCAAGAACTTTTAACAGGGTCCCTTGAACTCAATGCAGAAAAGACAAATTATTATTTCAGGAGGAATATTCTATACGTCTTTACAGGATGGAACATGGTTTGCAAAAAAGTATAACCACTTTACCACTTTAGATTAACATCATTAGTTTCTATGGTGTCCCAAAATCCAATATGAATACAACTGATTTATTTGCACTGCTCAGAGGTCAGTCATATTTGAGGGGGAGAATTTTGGATCACATTTAGTGATAAAATGCATATACTGTAGACTCACACATACTATAACGCATCATATATCTGTCAGAGGTAAGTGCACCCATCCTTGGAGAAAGCTGCTTGATGAATTCAACCAAGCATGGCTCACTGTGGTTCACGCAGCCCTCCAGGTGTTTGAGCATCAGATCAGGCAGAATGACAGGACTGCACCCTCTGTTTGGCCACAATGTGAATGGAAATGGGTCATGAAGACGCTCTGTTTTGGCCAGGAGCTATTCCTTACCCAGTCTGGCCCATGACTTCATCGTTAAAGAGGCCAAGACAAACAGCCTGTAGTCACCGAGAGCCTCGCAGCGGCTGCTGGCAACTGGCAGCCCGGCAGACCATTTACCACAGGAACACGGCACTCTTAGCTGTGCGTGTGACAGCTGACAGATGGAGGTAAAAATGGGGCCCAACTGCTCTGCATATGAGACGATGACAAGGCTACCTATGCCGTAAGGAATAGGCAGCGTGACGGAGCAGACCACCCTGTGCTCTCTGAAGCCGGCTGGCTAGTAAGCATGCAGGAATACTGCTTGACACAATATGCAATATTTAAGAGCAGGCAGGTGGTAAACAACTGCCACAATCTGTGACTGTTCTGTATTTGAGCCTCAATTCTCTTTCTAGCAGTTAACGCTCCAATCATTGATGTTTTGCCACCGTGTGGGACAGACAGACTACCAAACAAGCTGATAAGCACACAGCCTTGACATTATTGCCTCATAAAATGGTCTTTGTAAACAACTGTGTACCCAGCAGAAAACATGGAACACAATTATCATCCTATTGAAATGTTTCTGACCACCTGACAAATTTAACTCATATGTTCAATAGCTTTTAAACTCAGTCTTTAAAAAACTGGGTTTTTAGCTGTTAGATGGCAGAGTTGGGTAATTATCTTCTACAGTTTTTTCATGAGACCTCTATAGATTTAAAGGAACAATGTGTAGGATTTACTGGCATCTAGTGGCAAGGCTGAAAACTGCAACCAACTGAATACCCCTCTGCTCACCCCTTCTTTACCAAGCATTTAGGGGCCCCTACAGTGATGTTTAAAGTAATGTGAAAGTGCAAACGAGCCTCTCCAGAGTCAGTTCAGGTGTTTTTACACTAATGAAAACAATCATGAATATTATATTCAATTTCTGCTGATAGATTTCCCTAAATCCTGCAGACTGGTGCATTAACCTATTCTTCAGGTTCAGCATCAACATAAAATAAGTATTATTTAACCTTAAAGTCTCATTAAAGCAAAGAACAGACATACAGCCACTTGTTATTCTGCCTAAAAGTCGAGGAGGATTTACACTGTTACTGTTTAAATCATAGAGTCAATGTTCTGCAGTAGTTGGAACAGCAATGAGTAATGAATATTTGTGCAAATCCCACTACTTAAAATCACCTGATAATTTCTGTGACTGCAGTTTATTTCAACAAATACATATAGGAAGTCTAGTTAAATACCTTAGCAGTGCTGTTGATGTCATCAGGATCTTCCTCCTCATAAGCAGCCAGCGTGACGTGGGTGATGTTCTCCACTGGGTTGGTCAGAGTCAGCAGCACTTGGCTCTCCTAAATACACAGGATGGGGGAAAAAAAGACAAACGGTTGTCTTTCAAAGCTGTCTGTTACCTTATAGAGGTCTGCTCTTCTTTTGATCACTAAAGTAGACCATTTAATTCAGTACACGATTAGAACAAGGGCTTCTTGTGGAGGACTTGGTTTTGTTCTGATCAGGGAGGCTTGTAGCAAACAGGTTCTCATGGATGTGAGCTGCATTTCAGCCTTTTCTGACTAACTCTTGTATTAATACTTCAATCTCTTTGCATCAGGTAGACAAGTACGAAGAGATACGGTATCTTTTTACAACCATGTCTTAAAACGAAACACCTCAACCTTAACATCATACACTTTGCTATTAGCCTCTGTATTGGGATTAAATAGGTTTCATCATCTTACTTTTTATGTAATTTTATTTGATTTATTTTACTTGTTAATCCTTTATGCACTTTTTTCATATATGTGTGATGGTTTTATACCTGGACAACAAAGAAAATTTCCTTCTATGACAATAACAATAAAGACCAATTAAGACCAATTTACTTTACTTTTCTCTGTATTTTTAATTAATTTTTACTTAGATTTTTGTATCACTATTAACATCTTTCTATTTTATTAAATCTTGTCTTCATATATTTATTTTTATGTATTATTATTATTGTTTTCATGTTTTATTTATCAATTCATTTTAATTAAGTCGTTTTTTTCTTTTTTTAAAATCAATATCTTTCTATCTCTCCATGTGTAGAGAAATGTACCTACGTATATTTGCTTGTCCAGAAATGGGCATTGAAACTTAGACACTTAAATGATTCATGTGTGCCCTGAAAATTTCAATTTCAGCAAAATTCAACAAAACTGTGTAGAAAAAAATAGAAACTTATTGACTTTAGTTAAAAAAGCTGAGCTACTGGTGAGTTAGCTGTGTTGCAGTGGTGTACAATCCTTGAAAAAAACTGCAAAGCTGAATATTTGGTTTTAACAGCATGTTACTGGCTAAACTTCTGGAAGCTGACATTATTAACAGTATGAATAAAACATGTGGGAGATATATTTAACATATCAGAACCAGCGCGCACACTGACCTTCATAGTCCGGAGATTTGGAATGGACATAATTCTCACTTCAGGGATGTAACTCCTGTGGGAGTAACAGGCAGAAGGCCAATCAATACACACAGTTACACTTGAACATGCTGTCAATGTTCAACACAGTACTCAGCCACATGAACTAAAAGCTGAGAGCTGATCTTTTGAGGTATCCGTTAAAAATGCAACCATTCGCAAACCATGAAATCCTGAGAACATAAACATGCTATTTGTACAGTATGGATTACTCCTAATCCCCAATTTACATCATGTATAGTTTTTGTTATTCTAATTTAAAAATGACAAAATGTATCTTAAGATTGAGGATAATTTCCTGAACTTGTGTTTATAGCTGCACTTGGCTACAATGCAACTTTAGGACCTTAATCTAATTAAACTACATCAGGCTTCAGGCTGATTTATATTTTTCATTAATTATAAAAGGATAAGCATCATCATGAAGACAGAATCTTACGACCAGTACTCACACAGCCACCAGCTGAATTTTAAACTTGATTGAAGTCGGATTAAACTCTGGCTTGCTCAAGTTGTGCTCACATTTCTGCAGGAGGAAATTAAGCAAACAAATGATTATCTAAATGTGATCTATGTAATAAAAACAGGCTTTGACTGATACAGGAGAGCAACACCCTGAAGTGGTACTGACCCTGCAGCGCAGTGAACGCTTCATCAGAAGGTGTTTGTGTCTGGGGTGGAGCTGAGACGCCCCTGCAGGCTGGAAGTCGGGCTGAAGAAGCCGCTGGCGCAGCGTGGTCACTGAAAGGACACGAGAACTTAGATTCAACTTCAACTAGAGAGACGAATGATCAATATTGTTTTGGCAAGTTCAAACTCTCACCCTCTGGTAAGCTGACTGGCCTGGTATAACAATCTTCAGGCAAGGGTTCCACTTCATCAAGAGCCTGAGCAGGTTCGATGACAATCTCCTTCTGGTCTTCACCCTCTTTAAGGCTGGTCAAGTAATACAAATATTGCCATCAACAATCTGTTGAATCACTTTTATAATAATGCCATTCAATGTGAGCTGTAAAGTATAGTGAAAGAGTATCAGACACTTAAATTTGATGTTTTTTAAGACCAAGTTTTGCAGGTTAGTATAAAGGCAAGCAGATGCAGAAAAGTTTAACCCATTTAAAAATCAAAACATTAAAAGACGGATAGATAAAATGAGATCAAATGTGACAATAAAGATTTCACAAACTTGAAGACTACTAAATGCCGTTTTATTTTTAAAATTTAAGACTTTTCAAGGACCTGTAGACACCCTGTGTTTTAAGCATCTCCTGCATCTGACAGCACAGTTTATCAATACAATGCATTTTGTCAGCCAAATATTAATTTTCAGGCGTTAAGCAGGGTCCTTGAATGCATCCCTGTGGTGGAATATAAAAATGGTGATCGCTCACAACTGTATTACTACAAGGTGATGATGTAACTTTGAGAAAAAATAAGGGTGACGAACTGTTCACTGTGATGGATCACCTATGTATCTCGAGCCAAGTTTCAAGGCTCTGCAAATTGATTTTCATGGCATAGTGAAATTAATGAAACAATGGCTGCTTGGTGGTAAAAAATCCATTTATCTAAGTCACTGATAATATGCATGTATTTTTACTAGGGGGAAAAATGTTCCATGTGTGGAGTCCAAAGCAGCAGTAATTCCCAGAATATGACAAAAGACCACTCACGTAAGGCCAGACAGGCTTGATATGGGAGCTCCAGACCTCTGCCTCTGCAGTCTGGTTCCAAGGCCATATTTTTCCTGAGTAAATTTAGGGAGAAAAAACACAAGATCAGGCATTCTGCCCACTGGAAAATAAAGAGCACAACACAATTTATGAAATTACATAATCTACGACAATTTTTCTACATCACTACTTTTAACACAAGGTCTTGACCCGAAAGGGGAATTTATGACAACTTTAAAAAACAAAAGTGGAAAGAAATGGTTTTCATCATCTAAATAAACAATAAATAAGCGACAATTTGTCTTGTGGTAAGAGACAATAAGGTGCCTTTCTGTGCAGGATAGTGGGAGACAATCAACTCTGATAGATTTGAGTGTTCAGAGTTTAATAAGTATGAAAAATAGTTTGATCTGGTTACACAGACTTATACAAAGTCTTGTATTTCTGCTCTCCTTCTAACCATCACAAAGGCTCCTATTGTGCAGATCTCAGTCTCATTTACCCAAGAAGACATTCATGTGATCTGTGAGGTCACTCAGTAAGAGACTAGACAGGAACAGAGATAAAGAGAGAAGACGGTGCTACTGTAAAGATGAGACTACCCAAGTTGTGAAAAATACAACTCACCACCACATGAATAGTGTGTTGCTGGGGGGCAAAAACCAAAATATCAGAGTGCATAAGCAAAGAAAAAAAGGAGAGAATAAAGAACCAGGTGAAACCAAAGCAATTTAGCAAACATTAGTGGCATTTGGTGACATGCAACAGCAACAGAAATGCATCAGTGATGGAAAACAACTGCAGGATATCACAGCTTGATAGGGATGGGCATTTTAGGTAATTTCCGTATTTGAGTGCTCGAAGTAACTCAATATAGAGTACTCGCAAAATAATGTGTGAGAACAGGGTCCAATAGAAACACCCAAGCAAAAATTAGTTAAGTATTAAGGTTACCCGATCTTCCTGCACCGCACAGACAGTAGAGATTAGCCAACAGAATACATTCATTTTGTGTATTTTTTTAAAAATACTTCCAAACATTACTCTTATGCCTGGTCTCCATTCTGCCCATGATGTCTGACTGAGGGACGTTAACGTTAACTGCAGCAGTGCAGATCTATCATCTTTGCTATATTGTGCTGTGCAGACATTTAGAGATAGCAGTTACATAACTGCACCCAGACAAAAAAATGTAACCTTTCAATACAAAACTTCAAATTTCAAATTTAGGGATGTTTAAATGTAACCTTAAACAGACCAGTTGACTTGCCTTAAAGTAAGAAATACGGTCAGAATATTAAGTACATTATAACTTAAGAGCCATTTGAGAGAGGTCACATTTTTCAATTACCAAATTGTATTTCAAATGCCATTGAAACGTGTGACATTTTGCAACATGCATTATGAACATTGCACATTATCCTATAAAACATGACAACTACCCACTAAATTAAAATAATCAAACAACATTTACTGAAAATGCTATTTTTAAAAATAAATAAATAAGTCTTTATAAAATGTGCCTGAGTGCTACAGCACCTTCATTGGGTGAACACAATCACATAAAATAAAAGTAATTTTACTAATTAGTTTAAACTGGACTAGTATTTTGGGTGCCAACTAGCGAGGATAGCAATGTTCAATTGACTAGTCGACTAATGGCACACATCCCTAGTCAATTTACATTTGTATTTATTACATAGGCTCTATATGTTGAACGAATACCGATGCCCAAATCGAGTTCTCATGCCCATCCCTACAGTTTACGTGTTTAAATGTTTCAATACACATTAGGAAAGACCGGTTTGCATTACTGGATGTTAATTACTGTAAAAGCAGAATGCAGGAGGTGTAAAAAACATGTACCAACAAGCTCAAGAAGCATAAAGACCATAACTACACCAGGGTGACTAAATTTGAAAATTCAGTAAATTGGTAATTAAAAATTTTTTAAGTAATTTAGTAGTTAGTTATAACAATTTCTTCTCAGTTTTGGCCTTTCAGACTAAGCCTTGATTTTTTTCTGTTGTTTTGAAATGTCAGTGTGGATGGGGAACTTTTTGAAAGCAATCCAAAAATGTTCATACTTATCCACCTACTGTAAGTACTGACACAGTGTAATTCTTAACTATACACTACAGTCACTGAAATAGCTAATTATTCCCTCCAGCTTTAGTTAAAGGTGTGCTTATCATATAATATCCTCAATGGCACAGACTCTGAGTATATCTATGATGTTACTGAGATTAAGGTAGAACCTACGTATCAAATAAATCTCTTAAATGCCTGTAATTATTGATCTAAATTCTGCTCCAATAGTACCTGCACATTTTGTAAGCGAATACAGTGAGACAACAGCTGTCTGACATTTGAAAAGGTTAAAGATGAAAGTATGGAATTTTTGAAAAGGCTGAACTGGGCTCAGCAGGAATAAAGTACCGAGAACGCCAGAGGCATGCACTGTCGTCTCCTGGCCAGCTTCTTCCTGTCTCTCTCCTGCTTCTCTCAGTGGGCCAGCTGCTGGTAATACTCAATCAACTTGTTGATCTGTAGAGAACAAAAAAATAAATCCACAGACTGCTTCATGTGCTTCTTAATAAAAACAAAAGTGATAAAGAATTGGGCCAAGGTCACCCAAACCTCCCCACTCACAGTTTTCCAACACTAAATACGGTTCGGTTGCACAACAGTGTGAGGGGTTTGAAGTAAGTGAATATAATTTAAAAGGGAACTATTAAATACAACTAAGAGCGATTTAACATCTATAAATGTGATGTACTTTAAAGTAACACAATAATCCATGAAGGGATTAAAGGTACCCTTCAAAGTAATATACTGACCAACTTTAAATGAACTTGTGAAATGTGGAAAAGTGCTGAATAATGATCAACTGCAAGATGATCACTGAAAGAAACACTTCAGTTAACAGTTTGGTACAATAATTGAAAGCTTAAAAATAAAAACCACACAAAAACAATCGATAGATACTTCAACCACCACTTGACTTATAAAAATTAAAAGGGGGCCTTTATGATTTGTTATGTGTGTCTCATTTGTGGCCACAGCAACTAAGCAACAACTTTCGCCTTAGGCCAGCTATGCGAGGGTGTCTCTTATTCAGAGGCAAAGCTATTCAAAAAGAAGTAATGCATGATCAGGAAGCATGTGAGCAACTTGTGAGCATTTACATGACCACAGGGGAAAACTTACCCGTTGAGTATGAGGGTTTTCAGGCTCCTGCCACCCACCGCTGGCTGCAGTGAACAAAAATCACCAAGGCATCAGACTTAAGGCAGCCATAATAATACAATGGGTGACATTTTTCTTCAGGAGCTAAATCAATGCGTAAAGGTCGACCTACAGCAGGACTTATGCATTGTGCTGTTTTGGTACTGCTGATACAGTTAAAGTTAAAGTTTAGGAAATACTTTAAGTATGACAACATTCATGGATCTACATTATATCAGCACCCACCAACTGATTTGTCAGCCATTCCCACGTCCCTGGAGGTCCAGCGACAGAAGCCGCAGGCCAGGTAGTAGGCCTTCTTCATGGCCGTCTTGGTGGGATCATCGGGCAGAGGAGCTGGGATGTTGGTGGCGCGAGTTGATAGTGTATGCATGCAACATGGGCAGTCGAAACAATTCGCACACCTACAGTAGAGCACAGGTAATTAGGAATCAAAGAAAGGACAGTCATGACATAAATAAGGTGAATGTATGTAGTTGTCTTTGTGCATGTGCAGGTCAGTCTCACCTGTTCTTTTTAACCTTAGCCTCTGCTGATGGCATGTTCTCCAGACAGCTTGGACAATAATGGGAGTCCACCTGATAACCAAAAAAACAGGGGGTCAAACTGAGAGTCAGTCAAACTTTGCATCCGCAGCTTAAAGTTTATATTGCACTGGCAGGATTGGAAATAAGCGCCAGCCACATGCTGGTTAAATATGCAAGTGACTGCTAGATTTGCTTCACTCACCAGCCCCAAAAACCCCCAATAATAATCTATTGAGTGGTTGGCATATTATGAAATCCATTAGCCACAATGGCAGGTGGAGAAAAGGGTTAATTTCCAACCCTGCACCAGTTTCCTAACTATTGGATTATCAACATGTTAACGTTACAAATATAAACGTGATTATCATTAAACATATTTTGAATTTATATAGGCAGTGTGGCACAATGACGATGAGGGGAACTGCATGTTCTTTTCATGAGGCAAGCTCGGTGGATTTTCGTGTGAGCTGTAAATAACATGTTTACTTGAAAAAAAAATCACTGACTACTAATCTGAAGTTGCAATATCTGAAAAATCAAAAGCACTCTGGGTGTGGTGTCTGTAACTATGAGCCACGTTAACAAGATGGGATATGACAGTGAGGACGCTAGGGTGGACTAACGTTGCTACAAATAGTTTTTACTTGTCGGACATATTTTTAATATTTGAGCTAAACGAATACTTTCACGTTAAACCCATAGAAAATAAGAGCTAGCTAGCTTGTTGGCCCATTTATTCTGAGCTCGACATAATGCTAACTCAAACGGAAGTTGAACCGTCACTGACAGCCAATGAGATAAGGAGACTGCTGGAAAAACCGTGATTGACAAGCGGCTAAGCCAAACAAAGCGCAGAGTTGGCTTGACTAATCCCGCCTACATGTCAAAGCTACTAGCAAGCCGGCTAACAACAAAGTAGCTGCTGACTAAATTATGCTAACAGCTAGCTTGAGCATTGTAAGGGAAAACGTTCACGTACCTCGTGAGACACACATTCTAGCGACCGCAGCTCACTACAGTAGCGACAGAAATAAAGTTGAGATAAAGGGGCTCTGATTTTTTTCTCTCCACGGACCAGATAGACAACTCTATCTGGCTGCAGAAGGGACGCCATCTCTGAGCAGCGTAGCCGACTCCGTGTGCTCACTGACTGCACTGCTAGTGTTGGTGTCACCGCTAGATGTCTGGCCTCTGAGGAAACACAGCGCGCTCAATGTCGACTTCATGTGGTCAATGTTGAAACTGCAAGTCTATAGATAGATAGATAGATAGACATGCATGCATATATTACTTTAAGTTTCTTGTTATAGCAATATGTTTTTGGTAAAAAAAAAAAAAAAAACTTTTCTTTTGCCTGTAGTTTAAACTGAATTTTGCTTTATCTTTTATTTTTTGTTTACTTTTTATTAATAATATTATTTTATTATATGTTTTTATCATCTTTTCTCTTTATCACAAAGATGGTCTTTTACGTTCAGCACTTTGTGTTGTATTTTATGCTTGAATTGTGCTATATAAATACAGTTATTATAATTGTTATAATTGTTTCATCTAGTAATGTGATCATTTATCACGTCATAACATGAAATGTATATAGTTCTTATAACAAGAAAAGTTTCTTTTCCATACAACAAACATTTCCTGTTAATAGGTGAAAATATCTTGCAAAATCGTGAAAAATATCTTCTTATACAAAAAACATTTTACTTTACTACCTGATACTAATTTTTTTTTTTTTTTGATATGGCAGCTCTATGCTTACATAGAATTATGCACCAGTTATGAACTATATAGAATTCTTATAAACAGTAGCCTGAATAAAAAGTGGGGGAATTTTAGCAAGTTAATGCAGAGTATACTGTAAAGTTATAGTGCAGTAGTCTATTAGATTATTAAGAGGAGATGAAAGGTGTATGAGTCCACAGTGTGTATTAGTCTTTGGTTCATTTGGGGGAAGCATGATGCTTCACCTCCTGACCCCCCTGTCCTGACACAGAGGGGTCTGGTTGAACAGGGAGATAACAGCTGGCAGGAAGGACTCCGTGTGGTCCTTTTCAGGGCAGAGCCGGATCAGTCTCTAACTGGAAGTGCTCCACACTGTTTGATCAGGAGGTCATAAAGAGGGTGTGAGGCGTGTTCCATCGTGCACAACAGTTTGTGCATTATCCTCTTCTCCGCTTCCTCTCATGGCTCTGGTGGTTCCCTGAACTAAAGCCTTTCTGTTGAGATTTTTCAGTCTGTTTTGCCACCACATTGTAGCAAAGAATATTGTGCTTTTAGCAACAGACTGGTAAAAGAGTTGCAACATCTTGTTGCACACATTAAAGGACTTGAGTTTCCTTAGGAAGTGCAGTCTGCTCTGTCCTTTTCCTGTAGACAGTCTCTGTGTTGCATTTCCAGTCTAGTCTGTGTTACACTGAACTCCAGGATACTTGTGTTTGTCCACCACCTCCTCTACCATGATGTTGATGGATCAACAGCAGTAGTTAGTCTAATGGGCTGACTGGACACATGCCCAGGGGACCAAGTGGGCAGGGGGCCTCTTTTGTATAATACTGTATTTGTGGAGATGTGTATCAGCGTGATTCTGTTTCACAAGAAGCTTTGGAAAACAGGTAGACAGCCTCTCTTCATGTACAGCATGATCGTAATACTGTAGTTCAGCCAAAAAGCAGCACTTCACAGTTATGGTAATCTTAAAACATCTCTGAATGACAGAGAAGAAAAAACATGACCACAGGTGGCACAGGAGGTATTGGGTCTTTTATGTGTCTGTGCCCAGGAGTCCATTGTCTCAATCATTATCCATCCATCCATGTAAAACCTGCAAAATATTTTTTATATCTGATCACCATTTTTGCCAGTCCAAGTAAATAAAAATGTAACTGATATTGTAAAATGTGTCTGTATTTCACTGAAACTCATCATCACTGTTGTAACAATGTCCTAGGAGTTTGTTCTGGTTATGTTGCAGCTCCAGGGTCTATCACTGAGGTGTGAATTGAATTTCAAAGTATAAATAAATAAATAAATAATCCCCCAAATACTCTGAACTAATTCACAAATTCACTTTATTGCTTTATGCTGCCTTGCATTTGGGACACAGCAGACCTAAACTGAACACTGTGTTAAATATAGTGGATGCAGTGCTCTAAGAGGACTGGAAAGAGGCCTGTCAGCCACTCACATGGCATGTGGCCAAGTACCAGCTCACCATGGCAACAGCTGATCCCAGAGAGGAGAAATGATCCATGAATAAAAATTAAACCAACAGTAACCCATTTTGTCCTCTTTTCAGGAAAGATGATGCTCATATCATCTTGTATTCGTTAAGATTCAGTAAAGCTCAACTGGACACTTCAATAATCATTTCTATCTTATATAATTTTTATTCTATCAGTGTCAGTGAACGCTGTTGATGAATGTTCAAGGTAGATTAAGCACCAGGCATGCTCAGACACACACTGAGAACTAGTCAACTGCGTTATTTTGAACAGATTGTTTTAATCAGGGAAATGTTAAGGGAAGAACACTCGTTATATAATCAGACATTACTAAATAATAGAACTATCGACTGCCCCATAAAGCGTTCTCAAACAGTGGCTCCTTCACCGTTTTCATTTTTTTCTTTGTGCACAAATTCGCTTACAAAAATACAAACAGATAGGTAGACAAAAAAAGAAAAATAAGAAGACAAAGGCTTAAAAAGTAATGCCAGAATTTGTGTTATACCCATCATATTATAGTCATTTAATGACAGCATTTCATTTAATAATAGCTTTTTGGTTCTTAACTTTAGATAAGTCTGTGCTATGTTGTTGAAATTCATTTATAAAGTGCAGGAAAGTCTGTTTGGTTTCTGACTTTTTCCCCCCTTATGAATAAGGAATTTTCTGAAAATAATAAAAAGTTGTACAATATACAACGTTAATTTCAATCTTATCTGGACTAAAATATAGCATTACATCAAACACAGTCATTTCGAAATGTATCTCAAGTTTAGTTTTTAGAAAGTTGGCAACAATAGTCCAAAACATTCTTGTGTAGTGACAAAATACATGAGGAAAACTCTCTTTTTCCGGTCCACAGAAATCACAGTAATTATCAATATTCAGCTTAAACCTTCCCAACGCAATCTTTACCAAGTAAATTCTATGTAATCTTAAAAGATACTTCCTTAAGCTTGTTATTTATAGGGCATTGTTCACAAATGTTTAATGCTTTTTCCCACTGGTTATCATTAAATAAGGAAGTCAGAAAACATACAGTAGTCTGGCAGGAGAAATACTTGTGTAACCTGGTTTTATTGGGCCCTAATGGTGTCCAATTAAGATTTTTTCTTGTTGCCAAGGTCAGCTCACGGGCCATGGGGTTCATTTGGCAGCCATTTTGAATTGATGTTCACGCTAATGGTGAAAAACTCCTGAGCCAGACAACATAAAAAGACAAATGAACCCACTTTTTCATATAATTTGGACACCGGGAATCAAATGGAAAGGTCACTGACATGCTACAACCACTCCTTATTGGTAAAAACCACAGGCAAATGACACATTTTAAGCTCTTAACAATATAACTTCTGCTATTTTGTTTTGCAGTTGTTTCCTACAAAAGCCAAATGTAGCTACTTTATAATCTCACATCAGTCTCGTGGTACTCCACATAATGCCTGCTGCAGATACACTCCACAGGTGAGCAAGTAAACTGTTGCCTGAGAAGTCTGACAGTTCCTCACCCTTGACCTCGACCTCTGCGCTTTCCTGGTGTGGCATCAAAAACAATCAAATACTCCCTTCAGTGGCATGACGTAGTTACAGTGGGCCCTGGTGCACGCTATCATGACGGGCCCTAGTGCATGCACATATTGCCTATGACATGATCAGAGACTTGACATTGGATAACATCAGTATACATATTACCCAGCAATCATTATCACATATCAATATATAACAAAAATACCAAAGGAATACATAAGAAATTAAGAAATTCTTTATTTAATTTAACAATTTTAATAGTTAGTGTATAGTTATAGAGTAGCTGATCAAAAGAATAGTTGATTTATAGTTAAAGAATAAGCATATATTTTTGTTATAGATCAGGGGTGTCAAACATACTGTCCTGGGGCCAGAAGTGGCCTGTCAAAGGGTCCAATCCCACTAGATGACTTTGCACACCTAATATTGATGCATTCATGAAGGCTAAGAGGAGCCAGGTTTCAGGAACAATCTAAAAACATAAAGTAGATACTTAATGTAAAATGCTGCTTCAGATCAGAAAACAGCTCTCTGAAATAACAATCAATACTTACTGTGGTCATTTTTAAAGATACTGAACATTGTGCAAAATATTGTCAACTAGCAGTTTCAGTACAAAAAAATCTGTATTAGATTTCCATGTTTAAACAACATGGATGAAGCCCTGTTGCTGAGGCACTTACAAAAAATCTGATTGTAAATGGTTTGTAAGGCGGGGGATGACTTAACCTGCTTCAATGTATGTGTACTTCCTTACACTAAAAAAAGGGAAACATTTGAAGGGGTTGCTATTTATAGGTTATTATGCAATGATTTTACCGTCCGGCCCACTTGAGATTACATTGGGCTGTATGTGACCTGTGAACTAAAATGAGTTTGACACCCCAGTTATAGATGTGATTGACTATTTTACAAAAAAAAAAAAAAAATGGGGTTGCCATTTTCAAGGGCATATATAGCAAATGGCACTGCTTTCACTTTCATGGGAGGTCTTCTTTGAACACATGCATATTTTCAAGGTAGCAAGCACTTATAAGGGCCAAAGCTCCACCCAACACATTGTTGGAGGGCCCATTCTCTCTATGGGCCCCCACCACACAGGCCCCAGCGCAACCACAGTGCCTCTAGTTTTACAGGTTTTTATTTTATTTTATTTTATTTATTTATTTATTTCCATCTTTCTGTCTTTATTTATTCATTAATTATATTTAGGGGATTTATCAACAGAAAAGTCACATTTTAGTAAAAACTTCACCCACTTACCTATCACTGTGTACGCCGTTACGTCAGCAGAGGGCGTCATCTCAGCCAGCTGCGCGCTCCTCCGCCCCCTGCCAGAGGCTTTAACTCATCCTGAGGGAGAAGCGGACAGACAGGGAGCACTCACCGTGTCGAGGAAGGACGGAAGGACGGCACGATGCGGCTCTTCTTACCGCAGCTGCTGCTGCTCGGTCTGCTGCGACCCTGCACCGCCGGAGCCCCACTCACACAGGTACCTGTTGATATATGTACACACACACACACACACGCACGCACACACGCACACACACACATTCATAGTATGGATCCAAATAGATTTATAAAGACAGACAGGCGTGAGAACCTGATACCAGATGACATCACTGTATTTCCTAATAACGCACCATGTACACCTGCGTTGAGTTAAGCTTAATGAAGCTGTGGGCCTACAGCAGGAGAAAGTAATACCTGCTTGTTTCAATGTGGTGTAACCTAGAGAGTAAGTGGTTGTAACCTGTGTGCAAGTTATTTATTTTAGTCATAATTTGACTTAACAGATGGAAGGCAAACATGTAAAAACACTACATCACAATCCGGCCTCTCCACAGGGTTTTGTATGGTATTCAGCAGCACCTGTTATTTCTTATTTGCCATGTAAGGCTGACATTATTGTGAGCACTCTCTGGTGTTGTCAGGCCATTGTTTCAGCACCATATGAGACAATCAACCACAACAAAAAGTTGTTAAGTAGCACATTTAGTAGTGGTGATTTTCCTGCAGCTCATTTTTAAGTCCATTAGCTACAACAAATGTTTTTAACAATAGTAAATGTTGACCTCTAATGCCCAGTGGTTTACATGCTTGTACATCTACATGTGAAGCAGCAGGACAGCTTCTGTTTTCCACCTCTAATTCACACACACACACACACACACACACACACACACGCACACACACACAGTGTCGCCTCTGCTACATACGCAGTTTGAGCTGTGTAAAATTTAATTGTTATGGTTTAATTGCGAGCTATAAAGGGAAATATTTCTCAGTGGGTCACAATAAACTGAGATATGTGAGTGTTATTTTTACTAAGTGCCTCCAATGTTCTGCTGCGCTGTTGACACTGGGCTTGTGTGTTGGACTTAAGCAGATGACAGTCTATCAACAACGGAGGTATGAGCTAGCAGACAGGTGAAACTGTTGCAGCTGTCATTGTGTTTTTATTTGCTTAGTTCGAGCGTCAGACTCCATTTGTTAAACACGTCCCTAATATTTGCATTGGAAGAATCATACTACAGAGACAGTAAACAGAAGATGGATGATCTTCAATACCTTTTCAACATTTCCCAGTGCATTAAAAACATTATTTTTTGTTCAGTTGCCATTAATATATTAATATGTTAATACTCTTGTAGGGCTGCAGCTACGTTGGGTGCCTGGTTAATGTTTGTTTGAGTTACGAAAAAATGACTCAGATTGTACAAATCATTAAAAGGAGTGGGTGACTGAGGTGCGTGTTACAAAACACACCACCCATAAATAAACATTTGTATGAAGTGACACAGATCAGTCCATGTCAAGGGCTACCATTGGCTGGAAAATGGGCGTAGTAGACAATAGAAATCCAAAGCAAATATGGACATATGTCCTGCAGGATAAATCCATATTATATGGAACACATTTTGGCATACATATATATATCCAATTTATAATCACAAATACTACACTAAAGACATATTGATGACTGTGTTGGCTGCTGGACAGTTAAAACAAATATAACCTGCTTTAATCTGTGTGTCTACCTTCAGCTTTGTGAGCCCACAGATGGCACCATTTACAATTACCACGCAAAGACTCTAAACAACAGTCACACTGTGAACTTCAGTGACTACAAGGGCAAGAGTGTCCTCTTCATCAACGTGGCCACGTACTGAGGGTACACTTACCAGTATGTGGGTAAGAAACAGCAGGACGGGCCGTCACGGTTTTGTTTTAACAGCAAGCTTCTCCACCTGAATACATGTTACTTCTCCATTTTCAGAACTGAATGCACTACACGAGGAGATGAAACCTCTTGGACTCACCATTCTCGGCTTCCCCTGCAACCAATTTGGGAAACAGGAACCGGGGAAAAACCATGAAATTCCACCAGCGTTAAAGTGAGACATGTTTCTCTTTCAGTGCAAATCAATATCAGGTCAGGCACAGCTGACTGACTGGAAACACTGTCAACATGAGGGGTGGACTTGGGTCAGACTTGAGTCACAAATTGAATAACTTTAGACTCAAATTGACAAAACACCAATAACCCATGACTCCACTTGGACTTGAACCTCTTGGCTTTGAAATACCTGATACCTTCCCCCAAAGTTCAAAGATTAAAAAGTGTGCCAGGAATCAAGTCATTTCTGTAATCAGCTGAACACTGTTCACTCCCAGCAAGTCAACACTGAATTCCCCAGATTTACTTTGTTTGAACCAGTCCACCAGCATCCAGTCAAGTTCCAGAAGCACATACAAAAACACAGGACAGAAACACACAGAAATTGTTCTGTTGTGGTACTGCTTGATAATATGCAGCGCCAGTGGTGGCGCATTTGGCACCCTAGGAAAGCTTCGCCTGACAGCCCCTGATTATTATCTTTTATATTTATTGTATTTATACAAACAAGAACAAAAGCTAATTAAAAATGAACACAAGTTAACAACTTAGCTAACAAATAAAATAAGAAAATAAATAAATAGATAAAGGGCAAACAATAAAATAATTTCTTATGAGCAAATTTGCAAAATAAAAATAGCAAAAATGTATTTGTTCTAAAAAATTAATTAAAAAAAATTAAAGACATTTTAAAAAATAGGATAAAAATATTTTTTCATTTTTATAATATAAACTCAAAATGTATTCATGATTTTTACGTATTTAATATATTATAATTCTGTTGTTAAAATGGCATTACATCTGTGATGAGCGCATTATCACTTGTTTGTGACGCAAAACTCTTAAGTTTAAGACTTGGGACTTGTCAGTCTTGACTCGGGGACAAACAAACGACTTTGTCCCATTTCTGCTATAAGCCCAACCAACTGACGTTTGGTTAAAACCATAAATAATTTCAGTTAGGTAAAAGTCCTATACACTGGATATTTTTTCAGCTTGTAGTAGATGTGAAAACAAGAGAATCCCTTAACTTTGAGTCACAAGCCTCTGACACAACCACATATATTGTGATGTAACATAAAACCTTTGAAGCTGGATGCAGAGAGGAATTTGCAATATTGGTAAATCCTGTCAATCAACAAAGCCTCATTTAATCAGTGAAAACATCCTTTGGCAACAGGCTCAGCCTCTGTTTACGGCCTCTCTAACATGCATAAAAATTCCGTCTCAGGTTCCATCTGTTATTTTATATACATAGTAAATGCTTTGCAGCAGACTTGTGTGCTCTTTCTCAGCTTGTAGTGAATCTAGGGCGGCTGCCAAGCCACAAAGTGCTCAGAGGCATGTCCACTGATAAACTGCCCTCTCTCTGGATTCCAGGTTTGTAAGACCAGGCAATGGATTTGTTCCAAACTTCCTGCTGTTTGAGAAAGGTGATGTGAATGGAAGAAACGAGCAAGGCGTTTTCACTTTCCTTAAGGTACATTATGTTCTCTGTGTGATTTAAAAATCTTCACTGAATGTTTTGTTCATAGTTTATATCTCAACATGTACTTTTTGTGCTGCACTCCTGCTGTGCTCAAACTGTTCAGACATATCAGTCTCATTATTTATTAGCTGTAAACAACCATTAATAGCTGACTAGGTTTCCTATGTTGGATGAGGAGGAAAAGGAGTTATTATAGAATCGATTACTCAATAAAATAAAATGTGTTGCTAATGAAAGTCCGCCTTGTGCCCACTTGATGGTGCACAGACTGTATTGCTCTCTCATATAATCCTAATTGCTGCCATGCAGAACTCCTGCCCTCCAGTCGGAGACCTCTTGGGTAACCCCGCCAGCATGTTCTGGGAACCTGTGAAGCTCAGCGACATCAAGTGGAACTTTGAGAAGTTTCTGGTGGGACCGGATGGGAAGCCGGTGAAGAGGTGGCACCCAAGTGTCAACATTTCAGGGGTCAAAGCTGACATCCGCAAATACCTGCTCCAGCTGTACACACAGGAGATGTTTAATTAGATCTCAGACTCATCATACTGTATTGTCCCTCTAATGACGTAGCTGTGATAAGATGCACAGGATAAGTAGAGCTAATGTAGACTGTAAAGAATGTTAGAGTAATGTTGACAGATTCTGGTACATGAAGATGGCATGTTGAATGAAGAGGAGGCTTGAAAACAGGAACTCTGTGGTGCCTCTTCGGAGTCTGGGGCGCAGGCCGGCTCTTCAGTGCATTCGGGCCGCCCTGCGACCTCACAGCATCATGTCACCTTCTCTTCCCAGGACCTGTTAGCCATTACAGCCTCAATGTTAATTACTTTTAATAAATCATGGAGAACAACACACTGATGTGCGGACTTTCCTTTATGAGAAACACACAGCAGGTGTCATGTCATGGAAATTTGAATATGATGTAGCAAATTTGTGGCCCTGACATTGAAAGTATGAACATGAATAAGCAGGGTAAGATGCTATTAGACATTTAGAATAGATTTATTAAGCCAGTCAAATACAAAAAGTCTCACATGTGCTTTTGCCTACAGCAAAAAAAACGGAGAAAAAAGGGCTACAAACCAAGAAAATACAACTGCCAGTAATTACAGCATACCTTTCAAAGTGCAATTTCTCATTTCAGCTCTCACCCATCAGGATTTTGTTCCCTGTAACTTAACTTTGTTTGATATAATGGAGCCTTTTCTTAATCATCTGCACACATTTTGAAGCCCTTCATCTGACTACCTGACATACACTCCTAAGGGAATCTCAATGGGTATTCAGTTAAAACAGTGGCTTAATTTGAGATTGGATTTTAAAAATGGTATCGTGCATTATCTCGTCCGCTATCAGGGCTCTTGACTGTGTGTTACAGCAGTTCACAGGACAGTCGGCACGGCATGGATTGCTGGTTGTTGAAGTGGGCAGGGAGCAAAGACAAGACATCCTGGCAAAGGGTTTGTCCTCTGAGGGGCGGCTGTACTGCTGTAACACTGGATCTAGGGCCTCCAGATACTGATGAAAATCTTCCTCTCTCTGTTGCTTGAGCAGAATTAATGTCTCAGTAATAGGTGTAAAAGTTGCACTGATTACAACTAAGTTAACATGGAATAACAGTATGAAGAGGAAGACCGCCATCACCGTAGCCTAAAGGGTTTGACTGCTTGATACTGTATGTCGGGGCTAAACTGTGGGCAATAGTACAGGATGCAGTAAGATGAGTATGAATGGTCAAATCATCAAATCAATTGTGGTCAAGTAGAAGTGTTGTGTTTAATGAGATTAGGTCCATCATCATGGGGAAAAATAAAGGTTGTGTATGTACTGTGCATTGTGTATTGTGTCTGATACAAACATACAATGTCAATAGCTACAATATATTGGGATTACACTAACAACATAGAAAGAACAGCATTACTAAAGACAATGATTTACACTTAGTCAATGCAACTATCAAAACAGCAGGTTATAAATAAATTATCAATAATCACAATCATGTTTTTGGTATGATACCATCAAAATTCATTTCCCAAAATTTTTGCATTTCAACAACCACTTTTGAACAGTTACACGTATGGGACAGTTCTATAACATCGATGGTACTGAGAAAATCTTCATAAATCAATCAACATTCACATTGTTAATCCTATGATTCAATGTACCTATATAATCATTCATTGTTGGAATGAGAATATGTCGTCTTAGTCGTATTGGGGAATGGCTTCCTGTACCCTACAAGTAACAGACTAAGTGTCAAGTTGTTACATATCTGCAGAGATACAAGCACATAGGTATATTTTCTGGAACAAAAAAACAAAAAAAAAAGAACAATGTTAATTATTCCAACCTATTTAACAAATGACTTCAGTTCCTGATAAAAAAATCTAAATAATATTTCATGTATATATTCAGAATAGCGAAGTGTTTCACAAATAGCCTTATAAAACGCAAGTATAAACAACATTACAATAGGATATCTACAGTTCAGTAGGAAAATTATAGATCAAATCACACCTTGTCAACTCAAAAACAAACTGATTTCATGCTACTACCCAGACTCCATTTGGTGGGTACGGTGATGCTTTAGTGCTTTCCAGGGTCAATGTTCTGTCGCTCCCTTTTCCCAAATCCTGCCGCTGCTGCTGCTGCAGCCGCTGCCGCTGCTGATGCGGACTGATCTGCAGACACACAAAGAACAAGACGGTCACAAACTGCTGCAGCACACTTTTCATTCCAAATAAATACAGTAAACATTTAGGTCTGGGCTAAACACTAACTTTTGGTTCGTCAGCTTTTGGTTGCCAAAACTGAAAATATGGTTGCCATTTTTTATACACCTTATATTTTGAGTAACTCAGATGACATGGAGTTGCACGCCAGCTGAGCTTAATAAAATAATGTTTAAAAGCTTTATTATATTATTGATGTGTCCCTTATCAAGGTGTATGTTGTAAATGCTTTGCATTATCATTTTCCATTCAGTTCAGATATGCTAGAATACTCTGCCTTCCAAGACCTATAAATCTCCTTCCTGTTTTTCGTTCAGGTTCATCAGGTTTTTAGTCAGCTGAATCAATTTGCACACTCCTTTGAGATGTCAACAGGTTAGTCCAACTTCTTACCCCACAGTCAAACAACTCATTTAGCTTCAGCATTGTCTCTGTAACAGATGCCTGTGTGCACACAAAGAAACAAACCAATGCATGTGCAGCCTTGTCTGGCTCTGACTGTAACAGCAATATTTGGATATCACCAATGCAACAAATATTAAAAATGTATTTATTTGGGGCGATGGTAGCTTAGTGGATAGTGCCGGCCCCCCATGTATAGAGGTGATGCCTCGCTGCAGCGGTCATGAGATCGACTCCGGCTTGCAACCCTTTGCTGCATCGTTTAATATATTAAAGTAAAGGTTGACACTTACAGCAGCCAAAGGCCACAAATTAGTTGCCAGTTTCTCAATATTGTTGCCAGTAGCAACCTGGCAACTATTACTGTCAAGCCCTGTTAGCCATTATGTGGTGTATTCTCATTAGTTGAAAATTTGCATGACAAAATAAAAGATACTAATGGCAATATTCTACATTTTTCTTGTCAACAAATCTAATGTAAAGACCAAAACAATAATGAACTAATTCTACTAACAAGAAATTAGAGATGGACTGCAACTACACATTAGTGGTTTCGGTCTTTTGATGTCATTTTACTGACAAGGAAAAATACAGCATAACACCAGCCTTATCTTTCGAGGAATAAAAAAGTATACAACAAAATGTGACTTCAGGGTGTCTACAGCTATCGGACACTGACATTTAATGCTTTTAAAACTGTAACCAAATCAAAGACTGATTTCTGGTCCTCTTGTTCAAGTGTTGCAGGCAAGTATAAAAAGTAAGTAGTAATATGTGGTCTCATGTAAAGGTAGGTTTTATGTAGGATTATGGTTATTAGAGTGAGTTAGATTACTCTTAATTTTCAAAGTGCAAGTATAAAGTGAAGTATTAAGTTCAGTGGTAGGTTTAAAGATTTGTAACATCAGAAATGTGGACTTAACACATACAATTTATGATGGATACATAAAATTTAATTAAAAGAATGTTTGTGGCAATTAGGACCACACAAATTAACATTTAACACTTTCAGGGACCAATATTTTTAAGACATTTGAAGACTTTCTGAGGACCTGCAGAGGCCCTGGATTTGTAACAAACATTAGGATTAAAACATTGTACTTGGCTGGCTGTACCGTACCTGCATTCTCTGGTGGTGGTCTTGAACTCTCTCCTACTGCTCTGGCCCCTCTGGGCTGCGGGAATGACGACTGCCAAGGAAAACCCTGACCAAAGAGAAAAGACCAACTTAGTTGAAATCACTAAACAAACCCATTATTCATCACAACTAGCAGCCCTCAAGTCTTTGCCGTAGCCTTACAATGGTTATTGAATGTAAGCGTGGCTAGGTTGAGCTACATGTTAGACCTAATTACAGCTGATGTTCCTCCCAAAAGACAAGGGGAGTAGAAGTTAAGAGAGAGAAGAGCCTTGTTTCCTCAGTGAACCAAAGTCACTCCAGAGACAGAGACAGAGGGGCCTTACAGGACCCTTACCGGGGTAACAGGCTGGAAGTCTCGTACAGGGGGCGGCGCTGCGGCGGCTGCTGCTGTGGCGCCTGCTGCATTGGGCATCCGGGGAGGGAAGTGTATGGGCCAGCCCTCAAGGCCCTGCGGTCCCACCTGCACAAAGGGACCACAGTAGGGAGGGCTCAGCGGGCCGTTCACTGAGCCTGACGTGGGGTCTGAGGTACGTCTTTCCTGCTGCTGCCCCTACGAGGGATCACAAGTACACACGTGATCCCCAATCAGTGCACAGCTGCTACTCTCAGCGAGCGCAGTGGCCCTGTCATGGCATGGGCCACTGCTGACCTTCAACCCCTGCTGCAGCTGCCTCCCAGTGAGGAGTGTAAATATTCCACCTGCTGACATCCCGAATGCACTGACCAACAACCTAGCTGGAGTGAGGCTCTTGTCCTGGAGTATCAATTTGTCCAGTATGAACTTATTACAGTCAGCATCTATGTGACTGCATTCTGTCACAAGGGGGCGCTCGTCTGCAAGGTTTACCACAACTCATATCCTACTGTATGATGCTTCCCAAAGACTTGTAGAGCAACTTTCAGTGAATGCCTTGGCCCTGATTAAATGTACTTAATAGGATGGCCAAAATGACCAAACACATAACCTATCCAGGCTGATGGCACCATTTCATTTAAAATATCAACATGTCTGCTACACTGCCAGGCTCAGTACCTGTTTGTGATGCTGCATCTGCAGTCTCTCCAGTTTACACCTCTCCGTACGTTCTCTCTGACACTCGTTCTGTGCCTGATGAAGCTAAACCACAAACACACAATTAAAGAAAAGTAAAAACCAATTCCCACAATCCAAGAAACGAAAGCTGAAGCATTCCTAATGATGCCGCATATACAGGAGAATATACTGTCAACACACAGCTTACCTGATTGGTCAAATTAGTAATCTGACCCTGGAGTCTCTCAACTTGCCGCCTCAAGTCCTCTTTTTCCTCATTCATTCGCTCCCTGTCACTCCTCTCTTTTCTGAAGTCTTCTTCAAAGATTTTCACCTGAAATACAAAACAATGAAAATCCGTTGAGGAAATGGAGGTGTACTCGCAATAGAAATGTGTATACGTGTGTTCCGTGTCTGACCTGTTCCTTTAGTACAGCTATTTGAGTGAGCAGTTCCTGTTTCTTCAGGTTATTGGCTGCATCGGCAAAGTTACCCTGACCAGGTGGTTGTTGGGAGGATGAAGGGGTGTGCAGGTTTAAGGCTT